GTGTCCTATAAGAGTGTCCCACAAGAGTGTCCTACAAGAGTGTCCCACAAGAGTTTCCTACAAGAGTGTCCCACAAGAGTGTCCCACAAGAGTGTCCCACAAGAGTTTCCTGCAAGAGTGTCACACCAGAGTGTCCCACAAGAGTGTCCCACAAAATTGTCCCACAAGAGTGTCCTACAAGAATGTCCCACAAGAGTGTCCCATAAGAGTGACCCACAAGAGTGTCCTATAAGAGTGTCCCACAAGAATGTCCGGCAAGAGTGTCCTACAAGAGTGTCCCATGTCCCACAAGAGTTTCCTACAAGACTGTCACACAAGAGTGTCCCACAAGAGTGTCCTACAAGAGTATCCCACAAGAGTGTCCTACAAGAGTGTCCCACAAGAGTTTCCTACAAGAGTGTCCCATAAGAGTGCCCGACAAGAGTGTCCTACAAGAGTGTCCCACGAGAGTGTCCTACAAGAGTGTCCCACAAGAGTGTCCTACAAGAGTGCCTTTCAGGAGTATCCTACAAGAGTGTCCTGTAAGAGTGTCCCACAAGAGTGTCCTACAAGAGTGTCATTTGGACATATGTAGCTTTTCGAACGCGTTTGCATTCGGGTTCGTGGGCTCCATCTTGTTTGGCAGCCAGCCAGTCAGAGATTGGCGCCACAGCAATGCTTTCTTCCCCAAACAGTGTGGCCACGCTAGGGGTTCTTACGGTAGGGGTTAACGGCCAATGTCCAATCAAGGTGTCGCGCGCACGTGTGTCCGGCTAATTTGTTGCTATTTACAGTACATTGATTCGACTGCGCAGGCTTGCAAAATCTGGTTGGCCGCGGTGGGTGCTTGTTGCGACTGCGCTCTCGTAGCGCCGCTATCCGCATTTTTGGACATGGTCGTCACTTTTCGTGGCAGGTGCAAGGGAAACCTCGTGATTTGGTGGTCCAAAGTCGACTTTTCGTGGGAGGCGCAAGGGATCAGAGCGGTGCTACTTCGAAATTTCAGACTTCGTGGGCGCAGCACTTCGGATACGGTGGTGATCTTCGACGCGCTCTAATTTCGTGACAGGCGCAGTGAATCGTGACTGTCAGTTCTACATGTGGCTCGTTTTCAGACATCGGGGGAAGTCTTGCGGCGAAACGCCTTGGCTGGGCTGCGGCGTGTGAATCTTCAAGTGCAGATTTCGTGGCAGGCGCAGAACATTGTGGCCTCGAAGTGCAGATTGCGTGGCAGGCACAGCAGTCTGTGCTTTCTGAGGCGCGCTCTCAGATGCTCCACTCTCACTCTCACTCTCTCACGCTCACATCCACACTCACATTCACACTCACTCACACTCACACTCACACTCACACTCCCACTCACCCACTCACTCACCCACCCACTCACTCACTCACTCGCCCACCCGCACACACACTCACTCACTCACTCCCTCCCTCCCTCCCTTTGTGGGTGTCCTGGTCGTGCATTGATGGGACAAGCCGGGCAAGTCACCAAAAAGGCTGACGTTGATGAGAGCAGTTGGGTTTCTTGTGGATTGTTGCGCTCTCAGATCTATACTGGACATCAATTATTCATGGATGCTGGCACTGGCGCGGGGTTGTCTAATGTTTCTTCTCACTCTTTGGGTGATACGCGTGTCGTGTCGTGTGGTATGTCACCACAAGAAGTGAAGATCGACTAATATATGACGCCACCGAAGTGTTCAGGAACTTCCTAGACTCGGGTTGTTTAGTCAGACTATTGTTCACTTAGTTGATTGGATTCCCAGAAAATACTGATTGCTTGCTATCCTCAACGGACATATAGTCCTTTATGCCGGCCAACAACAACAGTCCTCCGGTTTTTTATGCCGTCGACCAAGATTCGACCAGGATGGCTCCCTCCGTCACTGCGCCACCAACATCGTCATCGGCGAGGGCGGCTTGCGGGACCCGACCGACGAAACGGAAGCGGGCGAACGCGCAGCCGGCGGTCCGGGCGGGATGGAGAGAGGGTGGAGGATGTGCTTGGGATGATGGAGGTGCGGATCCACAGCTGTAGAGCTGCCAGAAATTGGAGCTCAACAGCTGCAGACTTGAACCCCAGCCTCACTCGGTCTGGCACCTGGATCTCCAAACCGGTCCACATTTTTGCCAGAACCCTCTCCTTTTCCAATGCCCCTCAAACTGATGCAATCCACAAAGAACCAAGCCAGAGACAAGGGTTGCCAAGACATGTGTTCCAAAGCAATTCTCCGGGAACGGGGAGAAGACCGTCTTCTTTGCAGGGAGGAGGAGACGTCGCTAGGGGAGAAGACGCCGCACAAAATGATTCGGCAGAGGCCCATGGTATTTGGTTATTTCATGACTCAACCTGAACGGGGACCTGAGTGAAGTGTGTAGAGACGACGACTTTCGGGCCAAATTGAGTGGTAGATCATGGTACCTTTTGGCTGCTCAACTCCGTTATAAGGACTATACACGCACTGTTCCAACCGACCATGTTTATCTGGAACCAGGACGGCGTCGGGCAAATCGAGGTGGAGGAGACGAACCTCCTGGGCCGCGGTGCTGGGGGCGTCGTGTGCCGTGCCAGCCACAAGCCTACAGGAGAGAGAAACGGCACGCGGCACGCGGAGAACCGAGCCGAGTACCGACACGACAAGCGCGACTTGACCTCATGAACTCCACTTGGAAGTTAATCCATCCACCAGTATCCATGAGTATCCATGAGTCATTTTCCTGAACTTTCAGGGACTTTGGGGGCCGGCAGCCACAGGCATCCCATTGGCCGTGAAGATTGTTCGTGTGGAGGACAAGGCACGGGCCCACCCGAATGGATGAGTCGGGGATCTGGTGAAAAGAGAGGACGGCGGCCCAAACCGGTGTTGAAAGAACGGTCCCAGACATGGCCCTTGTTTTATACGTTGCTTCTTCCAGATTGGAAAGTGTCTGAAGTACCATGGCCCTTGTGATGAGCCCCTTATTTGTGTGGGTCGTCTTTGCATGTCGATCATGCAAACAAAGGTTGCAAGAAGAGGTCGCCGGGTGTCAAACCTGGTGAGATGCGGTTCATGCATGGTGTGGCGCAGGATTTGCAGTGTCGCCGATCCCAAACGATGTAGAAAAAAGCGTCGGACCATTTTGTTCAGGTAGGTTTTGAAGGTGTGCACTTGTATCTTTGGAACACGATATAAATTTGGTAGTGAGCAAAACCTACAGACAAGATTGATGTATTATTCATCCCTGGAAGCATATCCATATTTCAATCCTGTGTGTGATGGTTTTAGTACTGGATTGAGCAGGACATCAAAATCATTCCAGGATTTCTCCATTGGCCAAGGAAGCAGGTTCATAGTCTTCAACGATGTTCAATGTCGCTGAACAAGCTTTGTGCAACTAACGTTCTCCCCGGTGGATGATCCGTTTGGCTGGTGTTTTTTGGTGTCACCTTCGCATTTGGCTACCAGATGTCGTGTGTGTCACCCACTTCAGATCCCTTCATCGAACAAACCTCGACGTCGTTGACCAGACGAAGCGGGACCAGCTGATCAACGAGATTCACACGCTTTTCCGAATCAGTAAGAGCCATTTCCTCATCGAGCTGTATGACGCGTCCGGGAGACCCAGATGCGCTGCTTGGTGAGAAAGCTGATGAACTGCTAGGCATTGATTCAGGATGTTGGAACACAAGCGCCCGTGGTATGTATGTAAGCTTGTGAGTAGCAGTTGTAGCCTCAATTGCACCACAAGCCTTTGCCCGGTAGCCGGCAATCAGCTACATAAGAATTCCTCGATACAGGATTGGATCATTCTGCCACCCTGAAGTTGGAGGAAAAATCCCTGCAAGGTAGCCCTGCCCTGATTACCCATCCCAAGTGGGCTGATCCGGCGAGTCGCGCCGGGCGAGTCGCGCCGGGCGATGCACCTGTTACGTTCGTAGCTTCTAGCTAGCTAACAAGTGCATCGCTACGAACGTAGCACGTGCATTACTAGTAGCAAATAGTAGCGATGTCCTTGTTGCTAGTAGCGATGCCCTTGCTACCAGTAGCTCCTCCCGAGGTATGTTCACAAGGCGCGGGGACCCCAGTGGTGACCTGCGCATCGTCTGGTACGCGGAAGACGCGGACTGGGGCGGCTCCTACGGAGGGATGAGGGAGGAATCGCACTTGATCCCTTCAAAAGGATTTCCTGGCCCACGTTGGAGGCCATTGCTATCCATTGCTGGTAGGTTGGAGGTCATTGCTAGTAGGTTGGAGGTCATTCCCATTGCCATTGATTTTTACCCCACAAAAAAGAGCACATCCAATCGCACCATGCTTTGAGTGTATAAATCGTATAAATGGCAGTGGCGCCCAAAAACGTGAGAGTTCCATGTGGATCGGAGCAAGCCTGTCCAACACTGAAGTCCGTTTGTTTTGCCGTCAAACCTGTCAATACCCCAAACTGGAGCGGAAAACGCCTATCAACTCTATATATTCAACTCCCCCTATTCGGGCACACTCCATTCACTTGGATGTTCACTTGGGTGTTGGTCAAAGTCCTACTTTCTGAAAAGGACTCCTTGGATTTGGATGGAGCATGATGGAGCTAGGAGCCAGCCCCCCTTTTATTGATTTCAAGCGTTCTCGCGGTTTGAAGAAAAAAGTGTCCATCTTCGATGTTCGCACCATGCCAGGAATCTGGCTGCGTACATGTGGCGCTGGAGTACATGGACTGAAAACCGCAAACATCGATTCCTGTTGGTGAAAGTCTAGGGGAATCGCAAGAAAGGCCATGGCTGGTAGGTTGGAGGCCATCGCTCTTAGGTTGGATGCTTCCAGGGATGTTGATGGGCACAATTCTCCAAAAGTCTGGCAAAAACCGCTGTCCGGTTGGGCGAGCCCCTGGCTTCGGGGCAGAGCTGATCACCAACTGTCACCCGCTGCTCACCCGAGCGCTGCCACGAGTCCGGAGCGTTCGGACGCGACTCGAACGGAGCATCAAAGGGCATCGCGACTCGAACGGAGCAAGAGAAACTGCGTCCCGAAACCGGAAGAAACTGACTTCGAACGGTTGGAGACCATCGCTACTGTCCGATTAGCAGGGCCTCATTCAAAGGGAAACCAAACGAGGAGCTGCCAGGGTTGACAGCTTCCCCGCCCTAGCCACTGCTGTGCTTGTGCCGAAGCTGGAAGAAGAAGAAGGATAAACAGACCTGATATGGCCTTTTTGGTCGTTTTCACCCCCAAAACGCCGTGCACTGCGCCGTTCTTCGGTATTTCATCCCCCTCCGACGCCCCTCCGTCCGTCGTTCGACGGGGTCCGTTTGGGGCGCTCCGTCCGTCGGGAGAGGACTACGGGAGCCTCGCCGATGTGAAGCGGAATGTGGAGACGGTCCCCGAGAAGCTGCTGGAGCGGGGGGGGGCTGGAGTGGAGCGTCGAGCGATGGGCAGAGGAGGGTGGAGATGAGCCGTCACGGCGATGGGCGGAGATGACGCGTTTTTTGGGGGGTGTCCTGGTCCTTGTTTTTTCCCGATCTTTGGGGAGGCGATGGCGGAGTGTTTTGGATGTGAGTTTTTGGATGTGAGTTTTTGCTGGCGCCTCCTTAAAAGCCTTTGTTGTGCTAGTTCTTTCATCCCCAAGCCGACAACGCAACCCGGTGAACGATTTCGGTGAAAGAATTTCAGAACTTTGCCTTCACTCGTGAACAAGCGGTGAACAAGCTTGAGGGCGGGAGTCTTGCGAAGCTGATCCGTTCGTTTCCGGAGCTCCTCGTTTCACCTCCCGGCGAAGCTTTTGGGGGCGCGGATGATCCTGCCACTCTGTACCATGAACGAGACGCCCCAGCGTTCTCCAGAAGCCCAAGCAGCCTGGCGTGAGAAGCTCCAACTGGGGAGACATCCCGCTGGGTGACAGGGTCTTCCCTGGGAGGTCAAGGGGTCAGGGGAGCCGATGCAACCGGAGGCTTTGATCTTGATGCAGATCCTCGAGGCCGTCCAGTCCGGTCGATGACCGGTGATGCCTGACCTCGTCCGGAGAGTGGCTATCTCCATGCGATGTGGGGAATCTGATTCATCGTGTTCGGTTCGGTGGGAGGCCATCGCTAGTCGGACACAAGCTTCGCGACTCGATCGGGGCTCCTGGCCGACTCGAGTCCGGAGCGTTCGGACGCGCACGGGGGGCGAAACTGGCCGTACGAACGGAGCAAGAAGCTCGTAGGTTGGAGGCCGGAAAACCACCGCTTCCTTTCGGCCATGGCAGCCCTAGCCTGGCACGTGGACCGTATACTCCTTCCATCGGCGGTCACCGGGACGTCGTCGAAGACGTCGCGCCACCAGGGCTTGAAGACGTTGCACTTGAACAACGTCGTCCATCGCGACGTGAAGCTGGGCCCGGGAGCTTGGAAGAAAGGTGATCAGTTGGAGGCCATCAAACGAAACGATAAGAAGGAGAAGGAAGAAAGGTCGAGTCGCCGTCCGAGTCGCTCGAATTGACGCTGGCGGCATGGCGCCAGGGATGGCACATTCACTTCCTTCCGAGATCTTATTCTTCCATCTACTAGCGATGGTCTCCACTGCGTCCGTAGTGGAGGTTCTGGAGTCCTCCCTTTGGCACTCCGAAAACGGGTTCCGTTTTCTCGCGCCCACGAAGGCTTTTCTACGCGCAACTGTTCTGCAGAAGTATCTACGTTCGCTTCTTGCTACTACGTAGTAATGCCCTTGTTACTAGTAGCGATGCCCTTGCTAATTGGAAACTGTTGAAATTCACCTCATCCCCATGGACCCCGTAGCGTGGACTCTCAAGGTAGAGTACAAAAGGTACGCTTACCGGACTTGCAGGGTTAGCTAAGTAACTAGTAGAATCAGAGCTGATCCTGTAAAATACAGGTTATCAGCCGTAGGCTAACTTGAGTAGAGCTATGGACCCGATGGATGACGACGTCGCACCGAACTCGTACGGAAGTGGCTTTGACATTGTTCCGAGTATACCCAATAGTTTGGACGCAGTTCAACGACATGAACAGGCAGTCGCACAAGTGGCGGCAACGGATCCAAGGGTAGCTTCGGAGGTATACCAAGAAATGCTAAACAGTGGTGGTAGTGTTACTCTTCAAGAGGCGACACAAGCTACCCTAGCAGGTATGCCGTCAGCCGCCGTAACTGGTGCGCCAACAGTAAACAACTTGTTGGCAATGACTAGGTTCAACGTCGTCAACCTGAACACTACATCAGGCGATGAAGAACTACGACGGGAACTACAACAGCACGAGTTGTTACTCAGCGAGCAAGCTAGGCGGGAAGCAGAACTCGAAGCATTGGGCATATATATGAGAGAGAAGCTTCCGAATCGATAGCAGCAACAAAAGCCGCAGCAGAGCAAGCCATGTTGAACGTGCAACAGAGGGCTCAACAGCAAGAACAAAATGTTCAGCAGTTGGCTCAACATCAAGACAACGTTGCAATCAAAAGGTTGCAAGGTACGTTGGAGGAGCAACGAGAGCATTTTCAACAACGGTTAGCTCAGGCAACAATGGCTCATGAGAAAGTTCTACAAGAAAAGAATGCCTTGGCACAGGAAAGCAATGCATTTGTCGACAAAATGAGAACTGAATATCGTCAGTATACCAAACAGCAAGAAGCTAGGCTAAAGGCAGCTTCAGAGGCAACAGAGAAGGCTCGATCTACATCCGCCGAAGAAGCACGTGTTGCTATAGACCTTGACTTCAAGCGAGAGGAGCTGACCAGTTCGTTGGCAATTGCACAGGCAAAGATCAAGGCACTCCTTGGTGAGATGGAGTCAACCAAATCACAACACGCAGTTGACCGGGAAACTCAAGAGCAAACGATCACTGAACTCCGCAAGGACAATGCTTTGCTGAAGGGTGAAATGGATGAGCTCAGACGAGTTGTACAGGCCTTATCGGACAGGGAAGAGGAGCGCAAGGAGACCGAGCGCAAGTCTCAAGCCGCAAGCCCCGTTAAACCAGGGCCGCAACAACCAGAGCAACCTCCACCCCCTGCTCAACCGAATGTTTTTCCCGTTGGTCAACCTCGTTCATATGAACCTCTTCGTACGGAAGGCACAGTTCCGGCAACCTTAGAAGGTTCGCCCTCAGACCCAGCTGGAATTCCTTTAAAGACAACTATGGATGCAACAGCAACCAGTCGCAACACAGGATTTCCCTCAATGTTCTCTGGGACAGGGGCGCCAGCAACGGAACAAGCCACCGCCTCAACTGATAGGCAACAGTTTAAACAACCTGATCCGTGGATGGACTACAAGACGAAGTCGGCGCAATACAACTTCAGCGACGATCCTTTATACAAAAGCTCCTTTAATCAGGATGCAACACAGAAAAAGGACGATCGCAAGGATGAAGGGCCGGCATCTCAGGTAAGAACTCCACAAGATCAAGATTTGGGGGAAAGAAATAATCAAGAGGGCCTTGCTAGAAGGGTTTAAGGGCGCGAAAAGCAAAGACTCAGACAAACCCAAAGCAAAAGAGGCCGATAAGATAGATCTCCCTGAATTCCCAAGTCCTGACAGGTACCCCACTTGGAGAGCCGCCGTTCGCGAAGCGATACGATCCGCGTCCGACGACCCAGATGCCGCGTTTGTGTGGGTGCTTGAGGTATATGCCGTTCGGGAGGACAAAGCAAAGCTTTGTTCCGAATTGGCGGACCCAGGCAAGTTTCGGACCTTAGACACGAAACTCCTTCCTGCTTTGACTAAGGTTGCCAAAGGTGAACTGTCTCAGCAAATCCTTAATTATAAGGAATCTGAGGCACAGCAGGGTAGAATCGTTCTTGGTCGTCAGGTTTTGCTCATGTTCGAAGTCCATTTTAAGACTAGTGAAGAAGCCGGTGCACTGTATGGTACGGAAGACCTCCTGAAGATCTCGCTTGACAGCGATGACCTGAAATCCTTTCTAAGGAAATGGGAAAGTGTGTTGACCGGAATGAGTCATGTCCCTGATCCGGCAACCCTCAAAGATTTATTCTATAGAGAGGTCAGGAAGTCCCGTAAGCTCAGATTTGACCTTGATGTTTATGAACGGGCAGCCGAAGGAAGTAATGACAGAAGTTATGAATTTCTCATTAATTCTGTTCGACGGTATCTTGATCGAGAAAGGCTGAGGACCAACCGAGAGAAGATCTCTCAATCGCACGCAGCAAAGTATGCAAACCCGGCGCCACATGACAAGCGCACGCGAAGCCCAAGCTATGGCAAGCGAAGCGCAAAGGGTGACGGAAGCAATCAATGCTATGAGTTCGCCAAAACTGGCAAGTGTAAGTACGGAAGCAAGTGCAAGTACTCTCACGACTCTAGTGCCCGACCCCGCTCCCTTAGTCGGGAGTCGTCGCGATCGCGAAGCGCAAGTTCAAGTGGTCGATCCTCCTTTAGGTCAAGCCGTTCAAGAAGCTCGTCAAGGCAATCCTCCCGCAATAGTTCAAGGAACTCATCAAGGAGCTCAAGTAGAGGTAGAAAGTCTGAGAAGCCATGCAGGTTCTTTGCAAAGGGCAACTGCAAAAGGGGTGAAAAATGTCCATTCAAACACGGTGAAACGGCTACGCCGGCCCCCGCGCAGAAGAAGTCCCTCTCCCGCGGCTAAGAAGTCTAAGGACAAGAAGCCAAAGAAGGACAAAAAGGACAAGAAGAGCAAGCGAGAAAAGAAGGACAGAAGTCCAAAGGCCAGTCCATGCATTCAAACAGGTTTCGCAATATCTTGCTTAGCAGCAACCGCTACTCGGACCCACAAGAGTAAGGACTACTGGGAATTCTCCAAAGATGGCACCGAGTTGATCAGGCACCATTTAAAGCCTAGGAACAGGTCGTTTCTCCCTACACGTAAATCCTGTCCGGTGGAGTCATCTAGGTTGGAAGACCGGTTCACCATGGTGGTCAATGACTCAAAGGGAAAGAGTAGGACCTTTAAGGGTAATTGGAAGAAACACCCAAATGCGAAACAGGGGTTTGATTGGACTGGAAAGTCAATTTTCCGTGTTGTGCAAGAGAAGAGAATTCGTTTCGAATTCAAACCAGAGGTACACACCTTTCCTGTTTGGAAGGAAATGTACCGGCATGTAGTGAATAAGAGCAGAAAGCGGAACCTGTTCCGGACCACTGAGGCCACCAAGATTTTCAAATCCAATGAACCGATCTCCCTCACTACTGCAAATGGACCAATTACTTCTGAAGATGTAGTTGAGGTGATACTACCGGGGCGATGTGAATCCTTTAACCCCTACATTCTCCAAAGCACACCCTCTGCACTCTCGATTGGTTTGAGATGCTTAGAACAGGGACATGATTTTGTATGGGTAAAGGACACTACTCCCATATTTCTTCGACCTGATGGACAATGTGTCAAATTCAAATTGCAAGGCAGAGTTCCATACATCGATGAAACGTGCACCCCATTTTCAATTCCCGAGTCACTGAGGATACGCCTTACTAAGTTGCTCGACTCCATCCACCAGTTCACCATCGATCACGGCTTTGCTATGGCCAGCCACGAGTCCGAACCTGAGGAGGAACAAGAGGACGAAGATGAAGCTGGCGTAGCTGCCAATGCCGATGAGGAACAGGAGGAGGAAGAGGAAAGTGACCCGGAAGTTGAAGTCCTTTTCAATTTTGAAGACGTTCCCGTAGCGGGGAAAAGACCGAAGAACAACTTCGAAAGGAAGCTAAATCAGCAGCGCACCAGTTCACACACCGACCAAAGAACCCCTACTGCGATATTTGCAGCGAAGCTAAAATGCTTGCACCCTACGGTAGAAGCGTAGGCGGATCGCAACATGTATTGGCACGTGGTTTTGGTGACCATATTGTGTGCGACCACGTTATTCCCAAAGACATTGAAGAGGGAATAGAAGGCCAAACCTCAATGTTGGTGATCAAAGATGTGTATACTCAATACTGTTGTGTTTACCCTTCAGAGAATAAAACTGCCGATTCCATCGTGAAGGCTTTCAAACATTTTCTGAAGACTTCTGACATTGTTGGCATAGTGTACACTGACAACGCTCCGGAAATTTAAATGCTGGATGCCATTGAGGAACTCGGTTTCAAGCATCAAACTTCTGTTGAGTATCAACATTCTACCAAAGCTGTTGTTGAGCGCGAGGTCCGTACCATTTTGGAAGGGGCGCGCTCCAATCTCCTTCAGGCCAACATGCCTCTGTCATTGTGGCCTTATGCCTCCAAACACCACGCCATGGCCATCAACATTGTCAAACAGTTGAATGGTAATGATCCACCATGGGCACTTCGTTTTGACAATGGATTCCTTGGTAGACAACTTCCTTTCGGATGTATCCTTTTCTTTTGGGAAGCAAAGTATGAACCAAAGAGAGGAAAGTTTGCTCCCAATGCCAAGAGAGGTGTTT